TCATTCTGGGTTCAGTCAGCCCAGATTTCAGGGTAACACAAATTTATAAGGAGCCCTAATCAATGGAACACAGAAAACAGCAGCCACCAAGGCAAAGCAAGATACCTCAGAGTACAAATTTCTCTCAAATAGAACTAAAAATATCAATAAAGCCATATGGAGATTACAAAAAACTTATTCACAAAAAGACAATACTATTACAGTGATGCCTTCAGGAAATTGTGATCGATCTGATGGGTTTGTGAGCTGTATAGTAACAGTTTAATCCTGGCAGTTTGTCCTCAGCATAAAAATTAAGCGCAGAGCTCATATGACACAACAAGGAAATATCTGCGTGTTATATTAGCGATCTGTGGCTAAAATCTGACTCTTGCAAAAAAAGAAAGAAAAGAAAATCAGCTGAATCCATATCAAATGTGTATCTAATCATGTGTAGCTCAATGAGCATTTCCTCTACAATACCTATATGTACCTGCAGTAAAGGATGCAGTTTTTGATTGTTTCTTTCTTCTGATTTTAGCTTGAACGTGCAACAGACAGAAGTCCTGTAACCGAGTTACTTTACAGAGCCTGATTATTTGTCTGGAGGCAACAGCTATCTGACTTTCTGAAACTAAAAATCTGGGATATGCAGGGAGTTACCAAACTTATTCAGACTTATAGCTTATCACATTTTCTGAAATAGGGTCCAGGAGGAAATTCCCTGTGTTGGATTTTATTTTGGCGTATTGAAGTAAGGAGTGACAGAACACTTCCTATCTTTTGATCAGTAATACATTTTGCAAAGCGCTGTATAAATTTCCTTCTATATTAGAACTATAAACTCCTTTAATTTACATTGAAATAATATCAATCAAACATAACACAAAATATAAAACGTTTAACAGATCCTGCAGTGTTGTTAATGGTTCTACAACGAGAGGGAAAGACTCACCCACTAGTGCAAAGTTACTCTCTAGAAGTTCTCTATGGGAGTTAAACCAGGCCTGAGCGAGCCGGCTGTTCTTGTTCTTTCCAATGATGTAGTTCATAATGTAAGACAGTAAGCCAGTCACCATCAGGATCTCCATGTAGTAACTTTCCCAGCTGTTTTGAAGGTGTGCAGGGACCTGGAAAGAAACAAACCAAAAGAAACAAATGAATCGTGCTGCAACTCAGCAGATCGTAAACATCTGGATGTCTGAGCGGTCAGACTACTATGGCTGCACATGCAAGACCTTGTGCTCAGTTCCACATCTCAATCCTTACCCTCCCTTCTGAAACCACTGCTGTAGCTCAACCAGCTCAGTTCTATGTCTATGAGTACATTTTGAATGTTTACTTTATATCTTAAGATACTACAAAAGCACACATCCTTGAATATAACTGATATTCCAGATACTTTTAAACCGGTTTTACCGTGTGGATTATGAGAGGGTCCTTCATGGAGTGGCCTGTCTTCTCCATGTCTCCAATTCCCTCAAACTCCTCCTGGTCATATTTGCTGTATATGTCTTGATCCTTAGAAGAAAAGATATCAAAATACTCAAATGGTATCAGTCATAGTAACGCCATTTGAATGTTAAGCATTAGAGAGTAAGGGGACATACTTGAGTCTCAGAGTCTTCGAAGCCATCCTGACCATCCTCTAGTTCCACAGTAGCTTCGTCTTCATCCTCTTCAGGCTGCGAGGAGGGTGATGAGACACGTGGTGGAGGGGCTGTCTCTGCTTCAGCTGTTAAATCCTCGTTCACGTCCTCAAACTCAGCAAAGTCATTGTCATCAAATTCTGCCAGGTCCTCCCCGTCATCAAAGTCGTCATTGTAGCGTCCTTTTGAGGCAGGAAGGGCCAGAAGGAGCAGGAGTGCTGGTACCAGGAGGAGATATGCGCTTCGCATATTGCAATCTGAATTAAAATCAATCAAAAACACAACAAGATAAGATAAAATAGGGAATAGAATAGGAGTTTCCTTCACTGACGGACTGACAATTTTTATTTGGTCTTAAACAACTATACATGACTTTGAAAAAAGAAAAAAAAAACATCAATGCATTTCATTTATAAAAGAAAAATAAGGCGTGATGAAAGAAAAGGATCATGCACCGTTTTACTCTAAATTAAAAGGAGAAGTTACAGAAACCTGCTGCAGCTGGTAAAATAAACTGTAGCACTCTATACAAATGCATGAAAAATGGTACCAACAAGTGCAACATTTACAACAGGAAAACCAAGTAGAGTGAAATAATAACTATGATGAAACCTTAAACTTTTATCAACAAACATGAGTGAATATTTAAGGATAGAGGACTGATAACTAATGGTTTGACATTTATTTAGAAGGATCATGGAGAAATGTACCCACCTCTTCACCCAGTCTACCCTGATCAAATGAGGGTGTCATTCATAAAGTAATAATAATAATCATTTACTTTCTAGATTAAGTGGTAAAAAAAATCCCAAGTGGAAAAGACAATATCAAATGATTTACATATATGTATATGTATGTATATATATA